TAGGGTTCCCTACGGACCCGGTCCGTCCAACATCTCCCAGGATATCTAGTCAGGCTGACCACAGTATACAATTTCCATTTACATAATCTTTCATTCTCCTTTTCCCTCAGTTAGCATTATCAATCACATACAAACAAGCAAAACGATAATTTATGCCAAACAGACAACATACAGCATCAATATCCCGGTCATTCAATCCATAATCAATAAAACAGTAAAATATGCACACGAAACTATAAAATGAAAACATCGAACCTCATGCTGCATTGAAAACTGTAAAATAGGCCAAATAACAGTTAACTGACAAACACACTAGACTCGGACTCCATTAGCGACCTTAAGCAATTTCACACATTCGTTGATTCATGAAATACCGTTTTATCATTTATTGAACTTTAAAACCGTGATAGGAAATAGGGTGAGGGGTCCTTACACGTTTCGGGGTCCGAACACGGCTTCACAGTGCGCCTACAGGCTGTCCCTAATTTTCCCTGAATTTTTCTCGGGGAACTTAAATGCACTATTGGTACCTGCACGTGTTCCAAAAAATCCCAAATTAGGTCCAGGGCCCCTTTCGGCCAATATCGCAACTCCGGCACGGCGGCTCCGCCGTGCTCCGGCGACGGCGCCGCCGCTTGCAATGGGGACAAAAAAGAAGGGTTATTTACATTAGGGCACACAGAAAATATGTATCTAAAAAAGGAATAAGAAACTTAGAGATTGTAAAAAGTCTTGATGAATGGAGTAAAAAAAGGTAAAAAGAGTTCAATGACATGGCATCCATATAGGTCTAGATGTGTTAACAAATTTGAAATTGTTGTAACTTGACTTGCCCACATCATGTTCTGTGTTAGTAAGGCCAGATATTGTTAAGAAAAAATAACGAAAACGAGAAATTTTGTCACATTTTTGAAAGTTTAAGGTGACCTTTGAGAAAAAAAAATACTTCAGGAAGGATTTTAAACATATTTGTATAGTTCAAGTGGTATTTTGACACTTTAGCCAAAATAAAAAGCTTGGGAGAGACTATTTGCATCGACAAGAGGTAAGCTGCAAGTGGTAAGTTTCAAGTGCAATTATGGATGATAAATCATGTTGATAAGGATTTCATACTAAGTAGAATACTATATTAGTTAGAGTTCTAATAGTATAATTATATCCTATAATTAGAGTCCAACTAGAATAAGGATAATTAGTCTATATATATCTTATAAATGTCAACAAAACATAAGTAATAAAAATTAGAAATTTATTTTCTCCAAAAAATTTCATGGTATCAGAGATAAAGAAAGACTATTTTTTAATATTTTTCTGAACTGAATGGATTATGGCAGGAGTTAGATTACTATCAAGATTTTCAAGCAGAATGTCCTGCAGATGCAGTCAAATTTCATAAATTGATAGAAAAAGAATGAATATATAATTTTTTAGCTGATCTGAACACCGAATATGATCAAATACGGGTCCAAGTACTTGGTAAATATCTCTTTCATTCATTAGAATAAACTTATGCTTATGTTCAGTAAGAAAGAGTAAGGAAATGTCGTGTTTCACATTGCACCAATTGAGAAGGCTGGATTAGTTGCTCAGTTTGATCAATCTACAGAAATATAGAAGTGTGACTATTATAGCAAGCCAAGACACACTAGGAAAATTTGTTGGAAGTTATATGGAAGACCACTTAGAGGTTGAAGAGGAAGAAAAGGTAGAACAATAAGAGCTCAAGCAAATTTTGTTGAAGCTAGGGAAATACTTAGTTCACCATCTGTTGGAGCCTTTTCCAAAAAAGAAATTTAAAATCTGAAGCGCCTTCTGAGTCAACTTAGCTCTCCATCAACTGTTGGCACATCAAATATGGTAAAATCAAGTATTGTTAATCTTATTTCCACTCCTGATAATTGGATCATAAACTTTAGAGCTAACAAACACATGACAGGCTCTTTTAAAGAATTTTTAACCTATTATTCTTGTACTGAATGGGATAATATCTGTATAGCAGATGGGTCATACACCCTCGTGTCGGGAATAATTTCTATTAATTGTACTCCTACTATTACATTGTATTTAGTTTTATATGTGTCTAATTTTTCTGATAATCTTTTATCTATTAGTGCCACAACAACTGTAAAATTAAATTTTTTTATGATCATTGCATCTTTCAGGATCTTCAAACCGGAAAGAGGATTGACATTGGTAGACTGCAAGATGGCTTATACATCTTGAATAGACAACTAAACTTAATTGAAAATCAAGCAACCATTGAAGATAAAAAAAAGTCAATATGGAGATACTACAATGACACTGACGATTGGGACTCCTTTTTTTTTATTTTTGAAAAATTATATCCAAAGTTATTTAAAAAAACTTCTATGGAGTCTTTCTTTTGTGATATATGTGAACTTACTAAACATAAGAAGAGCTCTTATCATTTAAGTAATAATAGAAGTATTGATCCTTTTATGACTATTCACTCTGATGTGTAGGGACCTACTCAGAATACCTCTCTTTTTGGTCATAGATGGTTTGTTTCTTTTATTGATTGTTGTACTAGATTAACATGAATTTATCTGTTAAAAACAAAAGGTAATGTATTTTCATATTTTTAATCTTTACACAAAATGATATGTGCACAGTTTGGTACTAAAGTTAAGATTCTGCGAACTGACAATGATACAAAATATATGAATAGTGGGTTCTGTGCTTACTTGGAGTCAAATGAGATGATTAATCAGACAAGTTGTGCCTACACCAATGAATAAAATCAGGTTGTTGAAAGAAAAAACAGACACATACTGAGGTAACTCGGTCACTAATGTTAACCATAAATTTACCAAAGAATTAACGGGGAGATGTAGTTCTCCCAACTGTCTATCTTATCAATAGAATGCTTTTGTGAGTCCTGAATTTTAAAAGTCCTATGGAGGTTTTGTAAGGAAAAAATTCCTTCATTGTTCCCCCCAAAGGTGTTTGGATGTGTGTGCTTTGTTCATGCTAGAAATGTGGGTAAATTAGAACCTATAGCTCTTAAGTATTTATTTGTTGGATATTCTTCTAACAAAAAAGGCTACAAGTGTTATCATCCACCATCTAGAAAATACTTTATAACTATGGATGTTACCTTTAGGGAGAATGAGTCTTACTTTAACTCAAACCCAATACCTCTTCAGGGGGAGAGTGAGAAGGAAGAAGTGATACCTAATTGAGTAACAATTGAGAGTCATATCTAGGGGGAGAATTCTATTATAGAAAATCTTAATTAAGAAGATAATGTTGGACGTCTAGATAAATCAAACTTGAAAAGGTATTCATGGAGAGAGAAGTCTAAAAAAGCCATCATGCAGTCTGTTCTAGGTCAAGAATCTTCTCTGGTTTCAGAAGATATTAGTGAATTATCTTTCTCTTGTGATTTATCAGATAAACCTATTGCTATTAGAAAGGGAACGAGAACTTGCACTAAACACCTTATATCTAATTTTATTTACTATGACTCTCTGTCTCCCTCTTATAGAGTTTTTGCCTTGTCTGTTTCCACTATATCTATTCCATAGGATTGGAGAGAAGCTCTAGGAGAT